GTACCATAGTTTGTTTATCCATTCATCTGTTGATGGGCACCTACGTTGTTTCCATCGTTTTGCTATTGTGAACAATGCTGCCATGAACATAGATGTGCATATTACTGAGTCATTTTTGAAACATTATAGAGGTATCCACATAAAAAACTGTAGGAATTTTCCTTTAGTTACTGATTCAGTAGCTCATCCTCTCGTCTCTCCTTATTTCCCTCAGCGACTGTCCACCCTCCTGCAGAGCTTGAGGAGGTGGGGCGTGGAGAGGTGCCAGGTAACAACAGGAAGGTGAGTCAAGGGTGGAGAGCCTGCGTAGGTGAGCGAAAGGGGTGACTGAGCCATGGCATCCCTCTTTGTCACTCCCCAAGCAGCAGGAAACAAAGGGCTTATCCAGCTCACCCCCAGGAGCAACTAAGGAAGAGTTTCAAGATAGTAGGAGTGTTCTACCTGAACAGGGATTCGCGGCCAAAATGTACAAGAATTAACTGGGACAAGGCAAAGACTGTTGAAGGACTGGTCCTGCTCCCAGAGACTTGTTGGCACACCATGAATAACAGCCATACCACCATGAGAGCACATTCTTAATGCCTCTCTGATAGGTCCAGCTGTGGGTAAGCACGGTTCTCTGACAGCCACTAACAGTTTCTCCAGAGGGGCATGAAAAGCAAGTGGTGATGAGCCTTATTCCTTGGGTTCTCTCCTTCAGAAATGGGGAGACAGATGTTTCCCACTCCTGAACTCTGAATAGCACCTCTGGAGCTCTGAAGATGATGTCCACCTGCTCCTCCCATGCTCTTCATTGCCAGGCAGCATCAGGTACCTTTTGCTGCTTCCTTGCCCGATTTGCATTCCAACTTTATCCTTCCCTTTAATCCCTGGAAACAAGTAGTGTCTCCCTGAGGATAGCACATTGTCATTCTAGTTTACTTCCCACCCTTTAACCTGCCTTCTTTCAAGTCTAGCGTCTGCTGGGTGTTACTGACCCCAGAGCTGGTACATCACACATTTTGAGACAGCAGGTGTCCCCTGGAGCAATCCACTCTGCATAGAGGGATAATGTCAACCCCACTGACCTGTAAGAATTAAATAAGCATGCATCTAGGGACAGCGTGTGGTATACAGTGTGGGTTTGATTGAGCGAGTGCTGTTAGATTCTCCCCTTGGTGCTCCAACCTTCCATGCCTTAGCTAACCTCGTGTTTCTACCTCTTCTAATCCTCTTTCTTCTTCCCTGTCTATCCCTTTACTTCCTATTCCTGACCTGCTGTGCTCTTCCTTTCTGCCACTGGACCCATGCCCCTGATTGCCTGGCATTAACGGAAGGTTTTACAACTCTACTTAGCCTCTTTTTGCTTGACTCCAGGGCTGGTACCAGCCAAGCCCGTCATTCTCGGCCCTAACCTGTTTCGTGGGGCTGTTGCCTCCCTTGCCTGACCTTGCACTTAGGGCCTGGTCACTCCTAGGAGTCAGGGGTGGGGTGGGATTAGAGCTGAAACCCATTTGCACAGAACATTCCTCGTTTATGTTCTATTAACAGCTTTACTCTCCAGGGGCACTCTGCCTTCTCCACCCTTCGGTGGTTCACCTTGGGCTCACATCCAAGGCTCTCACCATATCTCGGTTTACGGGTGGAAGAACACCCCCGAAATCTTTAGGCCCGGGACAGTCATTTACCAGTCTGGCCAATGGGTCGCTATGAGTCGGAATCGACTCGAGGCAGTGGGTTTGGTTTTGGTTTGGAGAGCACAGAACTCCCTACCTGGTGGCCCGAGACTGGCCCTCCTCCGCTGCCTGGCTGCTTGCCTCCAGAGGGAGCGCAAGAAGGATTGCCACACTGTGTCCACGGGGAGGCGGTGGGGAGGCCAGTCCTTCCGTGAGCGGGGAGCGGTAGGGTGCCGCCCGGCTGGGTGCAGAATCTGCAATCAGGGCGGCACCGGAAGCTCAGAGGGGCCTGGGAGGGGTGTTCGGGGCAATATTGCAGAGCCCAGAAAAACCTCGTGCGTTCCCAGGGGGCGCCTGCACGCAGACCAGGGCCACGTGGGGGGCGAGTGGGTGGTCGTGCTAGCCCTGCAGCGTGCCTCAGTTTCCCGGTCTGTGTCGAGAGCCACTTCTCAGGGTAGCGGCCCGCTGCGGGTTGGCGAAAGAGCCGGTCACGTCTGCGATCGCGGCTTTCGGTTCCCCCGGCCGGCAGAGCCGGGAAGTGCCGGGCGACAGCGGAGTCCCCGGACACTGAGAGCCGTCCGTCCGGGCCCGGAGGCAAAGCACGAGGAAGCCCACGTGCTAGAGAACTGGCAGGAGCGCTGGGCAGCACGTTCCGGTTCGGCCCCACCGGGGAGCGGTCAGGGCCAAGGGGGCGGGGGCTGCGCCGGGGCGGGCCGCCGCGGGGCATTTAAACCCGCCGGCTGCAGTGGGGCTGCGCGCCGCTCCGCACGCTCCTTGTCCGCGCTCTGCGCTCCGCACGCTCCTTGTCCGCGCTCTGCGCTCCCCGCACACTCCCGGCGTCGCGCTCCGCAAGCTCCCGGCTCCGCGCTCCGCGCTCCGCGCTCCGCTTCCAGGACCGGCTGGCGAGATGCGGGCTTCCCTGGCTCCGGGGATCTGGTTCCTCCGCGCCTTCTCCAGGGACAGCTGGTGAGCAGGGCGTGGGACGGGGCCCGGGAGCACCCCGCCGACCGTGACCGCCCCGGGCTCAGGCCGTGCCGGGCGCAGAGGTGGAGCCCTGGGAGACTAGACCAGATGGGCTGGGCGCCCCGGCCGCGCCTCAGGGCTCTGACCGGCTCTGGCCCCGGCTTCTGCAGCGAGCGCACAGCCTGGGAGGCTGCCAACACGCTGCCTAACTCCACGCTCCACCAAACCACTCTCGTGAGGAGTGGGCTGCCTAGGAGCATCCCCGCGGCTCGCCATCCTCATCTTCAAACGCACAGCCCGGGATAGACCGCCAGAGCGCCCCACTTTCATATCACTGAGCACCCGGGGACTTGAGGCTAGGGAACCGAGGCCAGGGGGTGGTGGAAGTGCTGGGAAGTGGCCATTGGAGTTGTAGGGCGCCTTTTTGGGTGCCTTTAGTCCGTGGGTAACAAGAGGCTAGAACCCAGTGGTCCTGGGAGCTTGCCTTGAGGGGTTCCAGGCCCTGAGAGACGTTCCTGGGAAGAGCAAACCCCTAGCATCAGCTCCTCTGCAAGTTCACCCCAGCAGTGGGTGGGCCGCCTTCACAGCTGCTGTCCTCCGGACTGGGTAGACAGACCTCTGCATGGGGCTGCGTGGTGGGGCGGGGGGCTGGAGCCGTTTGCTTACTCCGCAGTGTTTTTTTTTTTTGGTTGGGGAGATTGGAAGGTGGTTTCTTTGTTTTCACTTAGTTTCTTTGATATCATAACTGTATCTTTTCTCTTACACGGGAAATCTTACTTCCTTACATCACGAATTTAACAAGCTTACACATTTGCTTTCCCATACAGTATAGAGAAAATAACTTCAAAATAGCACTCTTCTTATTGCTCAAACAGTAAAATTGCTGAGTGAAGGTCAGAATTTCACTGGAGTTCTCTGTGTTCTTGGACGTCATTCCACTAAAGATGTACGGTGAACAGACTGTATTCTAAAGTCCTTTTGAAGACAGTCTTTCTCTGAGGGGCCGTAGGACCAGCTGATATAAGGTCGGGCTTACTTATTTCTGTTTCATTGCGAAGTTTTCAAATTGATTGTTTCAGTTTGTTTTTTACGGTTCTAAATTTATTTTTAGAAAATAGTTAATAAATTTACGATTCAAAACTCACACTGATATTTAAAAAAAAAAATCTTATAGAGAGATCTTGGTTCCGTGCACAGTGTATTTAAATATTGTGTTAGTTACCATCGCTTACCAATTATAAACTGTAGCATCAATAGCCGGATTCCTGGCTTCTAGCCGGAGGGGGAAGCAAAAACAACAAATAAAACAGATTGTAGAGCAATACTAGGCTGAAATTCCCAAATTAAACTCATAGTTGAGAAAAGCCCTCTTAAGTGGGGCAGGTGCTTTTAAGGTGACCGACTTAAGGTTTTAAAACTGGAAATCCTGTGTCTGACTTCCTCAGCCCTGGGCAAACTGGGAGGGCTGGTCACCTGGGTGCTTTTCATTTAGGGATGTTCTCACTGGTCAGTCACCGCCCTCATCATATCCAGCCTTCTTCACTCGTTTCCTTGGTCCCTTCTGCGTTTGGGACTGTTAAAAGATATTTTCCTGAAAAAGTGCCAGTCATGACTTTCCTACAGATATAAAAATGAGCTTATGTTAAAGATTTTATTGTAATCATAATGAGGGAGCCAGCAGATTAAGTTGTAACTTGTTGAGAAGAAAATCCAAAGATCATACCCATTTACAGATCAGGAATATAGAGGTTGGGAAAGAAGACTATTAAACTTCTTTGGGTGCAGAGAGTATTTTACTTGACTTATCAGTTACTTACCATTTCAAAGAGTTTGGAAATAGCCCAAAGACAGTGAAAGTCTTGAATCAGATAACCTGGCAGGGTGTCCTCTGCACAATGCATAGTTTTCCATTGAAACACAAATTTTTTTTTTTTCCCATAACCCATTGCTTATGAATCACCCCATAGGGTGTCCAAGGAGAGGCTGGTGGATTCGAACCCCCGACCTTTTGGGTAGCAGCCATTGTGCCACCAGAGCTGTTCCCCATTTTGATCAGAAATAATCTCAAAAAAAGATTACTCTTGATCACGATATAAATCTGGGTTTCATGAGGTCTGATCTGATTACATACTTAGGTGCAGCGAGAGTGTTAATTTACGATACAGGCCTTCTTGTGTTTGCTTTCCTGCAAGTTTTCATAAGGAATCTCAGATTGGAATTTAAAAACCCTTTTACTCTTTACTATCCTGAAGGTAGGAGCCAGCCAAGAAACCATCTTCACCAGGTCTCACCTGCAGCGCCTGAAAATGTGGGGGAATGCCTCCCTTCGCAAGGTCTCCAAAGTACCCTGAGGCTCTCCGGCCCGCCAGGGAGCGAACTTCCATACTTGCCTACAAGGCTGGGAAACCAGTAAGCTGGTTCTCCTGGGAGAGATTTATTAGTGTTGACTCCTTGAGTCAACTTTAGTTCTTTAAAAGGGGCTGGGAGCCCTGGTGGCACAGTGGTTAAGAGCTTGGCTGCTAACCAAAAGGTCGGCAGTTTGAATCTACCAGCTGCTCCTTGGAAACCCGATGGGGCAGTTAGTTCTATTATGTCCTGTAGGGTCATTATGGGTCGGAATCGACTCGATGGCAACAGGTAAATCATAGCTGATTAAATGACCATCATTGTCGAATATGATACTCCAGGCAAAGCCTTGGTTACATAACCAGTTTTTTCCAATGGTGTCCTGGTAAGAAAGAGGACAGGTTCTTACTGAGCCTCTGCAGACAACCATATTGTCATCAGAAGTCAGAAGGCACAATAAGAGTTTCTCAATTGGGAGGGCGGGGTCAGGCAGGGAGACTAAGTTATCATTTACAGATGGATGTTTCATTTCAGTTTTAAAAGCAGAGTCTACTAAATTCTTATGGATTATAGCTAATTTAAGAAAGAGAAAGTAGAACATTTTAGCAACATCAACAATATTGCAAACATAGATGACAATCATCCCTCATCAGTTCATTCGGTCCTATGTGATTAATTCTTGTTCCGTTCCATCTTGGGTTAGCAGTCTTACAAACCTGTCTGCTTCTTGACTAAAGAGTTCTGGAACTCCAGAACTTTCCCTTAAAGTGGTCTCAGTGATGCCATCAGAATCCTGTACCCACGAGTCAGCGCCTGGTACGGTGTTTCTCTGAGATGGTCCATGGCTGTTAAAGAACTCTGGCCTGTAGCTGGTTACAGAGCCTTTAGGGAAGCATCAGAGTAAAATAAAACCCACATGTCAGTGGAGAGACTTAAAAAAAGGTGCCGCTGAACTTATTTTAAAAATAAGTTAGAAATAAAATAATTTTCAAAAGTGAAAGACGTGATGAGAATTCTTAACAAGAATGGCGCAAATCGCTAAGCGCTCAATTACAAACTGAAAGGTTGCTGGTTTGAACCCACTCAGAGACACCTCGGAAGAAAGGCCTGGCAGTCTGCTTCTGAAATATAGCAGCCTTGAAAACCCGATGAAGCACAGTTCTACTCTGCGCATATGGGTCGCTGTGAGCCAGAGTCGACTCACCGGCAAGGGTTTTTTAAATTTTTATTTTTTGTGGTGTGTAAAACAAGATGAAGCCAATCCAAAAAAAGTTCTAGGTAAGGTGTCTAAAATCGTAAGGCTGTTTTCAAAGAAGACAGTGACCATTACACCTGATCTATAAAAATAGGTGAACATAATTTCTAGAGGAAAAAATCTTGAGATATAACATATAATAATCCTGAGAAATAATTTATATAATATATGAAAAATATACCAAGAATATCAAGTAAAGAGATGCAGAATAGATCCTAACCATCTGTGTTTTATTTATTTTATCGTTGTAGTTTAAGTGAAAGTTTACATTTCAAGTTACCGCCTGTGTTTTAATAAAACTCCATGAGAAAGTCTGATGTGTAGCCCCGTTTTGAAAGTGATTGGCCCAGAAGATGCTAGATTCAAATTAAATAAATGTTGCAGCCTTGGTAACATTTTAAGTCATAACTGAAATCATGACTAGTAACACTGTACGCTTGTGATCAGCATTTACCAGGATGCTGATAAGTAGAAACATGTGGGCAGAGAGAGCATTGAGAAATCTGTCAGAATTTCTCATACTGTGTATAATTGCTGAAGTATTTATATAAATAACATTTTCCCTTTGTGAACTTAACCTAGGGAAGGCTGGGCATCTCTTCCGACGTGAGAATTAATCCCATTCAAGTCATCCGTAGTAACATCAAATAAACCTAATAATTTCTAACACCTCCCTTTTTATAAGATGAAAGGGGCCCTCTGGGACACCTCAAAGATAGTTTTAGGTACAAAAGGTATCTTGAAAGTTTTATTTTGTTTTGCATTTAGGATTTGGTTCAGATAAGGCACAAATCAAAAGTTGTCAGGGGACAATTTAAGATTGGATTGTGGGTGCCTGAAACACAGTACTTGTCTATCTATTTGAAAATGACAAGAAAACATTTACAAATAAACATAGAAGGTGACATTGTAAAGAACGTTAGCTCTTTGCTAAGTGAGGAACCTTAGTAATCAAGAATAATAAAGTTTAAAAAGCATAGAAGATTATTTTGGTAAGACACGGAATCATTGCTATCTGGGACGATTACACAGTGCTAAAAGAATAACCTTTTACAACCTCTTCTTAAGAGCAGACCAATGACCAATATTCCAAGAAAAATTTGTCATTTTAACAGCAAGTAAACCAAAGTCTAGTTTTGTGTAAATATGATATTTAATACTAACAGAACCACAACATCTTTATTAAATAATATGAACACACCCATCAAAATTGAGCCAGCTTTGGCAAAATTTTAACATACTTAATTGCTTCTTTTCAGACTCATTATTTGCAGGTACTATAATCCAAGATAAATAAAATTCTCTTTCCACAAACATACAAATTTATCCATTCAGGTTTTTGAAAATTTTTCTTTAATTTATTCTTTATTGCGAAAATATTTACAACACATTTAAGCATTTG